GCATCGTATGGAATATGGAAGCCGAAGGCCTGTTCGAACACCTTTGCTGTCTGCAGTTAACAAGATAAAACGTCTCCAATTCGCACAGGAACACAAGGATCGGACAGTCGAGCATTGGAAATAAGTAATGTGGTCCGATGAATCACGTTTCCAGTTGCATCATGCAGAGCGAGAGTGAGAATTTGGCGGAAACAGCATGAAAGCATGCACCCCACATGCATGAGTACAACCCTTCAAGCTGGTGGGGGCAGTGTTATGATTTGGGGCATGTTTTCCTGGCATGATTTGGGCCCTTTAATACGTGTGGAACAACGTCTGAATAGCACAACATACCAAAGTATCGTTGCTGATCAAGTTCATCCTATAATGTTGATGGCTTCTTCCAACAAGACAATGCGCCATGCCACGGTGCTTGTATTGTGCAGGAGTGGTTTCAAAAACATGAGGGAGACTTTACCTTGCTTAGGTGGTCCCCACAATCACCAGATCTCAATCCAATTGAGCATTTGTGGGACGAAGTTGAAAGAGCCATCAGGCAGCTGGTTCCACAACTATCAAATCTCACAGAACTGGAGAGTGCTATTCATCAGGCATGGTGTCAGATTCCTCGCATCACCTTTCAACATCTCGTGGAGTCAATGCCAAGAAGAATCGCCGCAGTATTGAAGGCAAAAGGTGGCCCAACAAAGTACTGATGGGGTGGTCATAATAATCTGGCCACTCAGTGTATATGACAAGTGGAATGGAACCTGGCCTGTCTGCTTAATTACACTCAACCATAAGACCCACACTAAGTTTCTGGTACCTTATTGTCCTCTATACACAAAGGCTTGAAGAATAGACTCATTATTAGGGCTGAAACAACTAGTTGACAAAGTCGATAATAATCCATAACAAAAATAGTCCTCAATGATTTTCATTATCGATTAGTTGGGCTGCTTGTAGCTCCTCACATTCTCCCCGCCACACTCGCGTGCGTGCGTGTTGTTGACAGGCCGCACCGTCCCAGGGAAAAGTGTTTAGGAGTGCCGGCGAATGCCAAGCTGACCATGGACCGAACATTCGGGCACCGCCCGAAGCGGAGCCGCGTGCAGCAGTGTGTCTAGCAACACCCTCTCCCGCACTCAAGCTAGGCGATATTAAAAATGTCATCTCTAGCCAATCGGCTCATACATATGAATCCACACATCAGGATGCGGATGTAAGCATGCAGCCAATTGGATTCATAGAGACAAAGGCGTCTAGTGAGAGAAGTCGGCTTGGTAAAGTTTTCCTTCCTGCATAAGTTCTTTCTGTGACCTATGCCATGGATGAAAGCTATGTAGAAAGAATTAACATATGTCCATTAAATAAACATTTAATCAATATTTAGTAATTCACTGAAATATTTAATGTTAAATAAATGAAAGTTAATTGACTAACATTAAATTAGTGATTAATTTCCCCATAGTTCTCTTTAGGGTCACGGGAGAACATATGTTAACCTCCTCCCGTGACCCAAAGCTCAGTATATAGCGAGCTATTGCCCGCGATATACTGAGAGCGCCGCAGCCGGGACGTATCCCGCCAATACTGTCGGGATCCACCCAGCTGCGTGAGTGACAGCTGGCTCTGCCTATCTAGAGGCAGAGCCAGCTGTGCCCGCCCACCCCGTTCCTCCAGTCAGCGCTGGAGGATCAGAATCACTGCAGGGAGCAGAGACTGACAGTCATGGCTCTCGGCAGGGAGATGATCGAGAAGTGAGCGAGCGACGGTATGTGTTCGCTCACTTTGCGATCAATAGAGCCGACTTGTGACAGCTTCTTTGTCACAGGTCGGCTTTAACTATTAGGGGCTGGTGTAAATAACTCACCTCATAGATCTCGTTTAACTAAATATACAATTAAAAACTAAAAAAATGTTTTATCCAATTAAAATCAGAAAAAAACTAAATAAAAAATAAAAAAAATCGGCCAACTAATCGAGTATGAAAATAATCGTTAGTTGCAGCCCTACTGATTATTCAGCTTTCATTAAGCTTCTAGTACTTTAAGCTTATAGGAAAACAAACAAACAGCGAAAAGAATACATGTAGAATAGTTTATTACATTTGTTCAAGTGCAGGATATATCCAATATTTGACGACCAGTTGTTGACATGTCACAGCGTTTCCATCAACTCAATCTACAACAGCAGATTTCCATTTCAGCTTTACAACTCAAAAATGTACACCCATAAAGTCACACAAAAAAGCAGAAGTCTCTACATTTTCAAAAGCATGTTGTTTGTCAGCCGGGGTGCTAGATCTGGTCAGGAAGTATTGGAGACATTGCTCTGGTCGCTTCAATCCACTTCTTATTCATCTTTTTGTTCATTAAGAGTAGGGATGCACCGATACCAGTATCTGTGCCGATGCTTGACATTTTTATGAGTACTCGTGAAAATGTCCCAATACCAAAAACGGATACCGGCGCTTTAAATTTTCAAATGAAAGCGGCTGCCTTAGGTCCCCTGCTTGCTGGGGACTTGGCAGCAGCTTTCTTGGGAACCACGGGGCGCCTGTTTATAGCAATTCTGCCAGCCCACACATCTTTTCCTCCGGAGACCCTCCACCCGAGACATCAGGCTGGCACCCCAGAGCAGAGTGCCAGTACAGAGTATGTAGCAAATTCATGTATTATTCTGCATTGCTGTATAGCTGGGATCTCTAGTCCTCTGTAACTGGTAGTATTATTCTGCATTGCTGTATAATGTATTGCTGGGATTTGTAGTCCTCTGTAGCTGGTGGTATTATTCTGCATTACTATATAATGTATTGCTGGGATTCGTAGTCATCTATAGCCAGCACCATTTTGCACTGCTGTATAATGCATTGCTAGGATTTGTAGTCCTCTATAGCTAGTGCCATTATACCTTGCTGTATAATGCATTGCTGGGATGTGTAGTACTCTATAGCCTGTGCATGCCATTCTGCATTGTTGTATAATGTATTGGTAGGATTTGTAGTCCTTCTACAGCTTGGAGTCAGTGGCAGAACTACAAGGGGCACAGTGTCTGCAGCTGGGACCTGGCTCTGGCACTTCATCACTGTCCTAAAATCACGTCTGTATTGTTTTAGAAAAACTGTCACATGACACTAACAAAAAAAAGTATGAGTAATTGGTTTCGGCAAGTACTTGAGGAAAACAATTGGTACTTGTACTCGGTTTTGAAAAATGGTATCGGTGCATCCCTACTGCAATGTGTATCAGAAAACATGACAATCAATACAGAGTTCTTGAAAACAGTTCTATCCTGTCTGATCCACAGACCAGAAGACATCATCATGTCTGTAAATAGTAGATAGGACATTGTCATTACACGGAAGATTTCTCATTGGTTTTGGCTCACGTCCTGTCAAGAGGTTACAAGCATAACGTGTAAAGTGCCCATAAAATAACTAGAAAAAAAAAATGAGTTTCATCTGTTCATAAAGGTGTTGTATAAGGCAGCATGAAGAACATGAAATACCACAGGACAGACTAGGCTCATTTTTAACCCAAATGTTTTCAAGCTGTCACAGTGGAAGGGTGCCAAGGGCAGAATGTCATCTGGTTAATCAGGAACTGGCTAAAATCCGCTCATGTACACCCTGGTTAAAGGAGAACTATGAGATGAGTGATTTCCACTCACCTCATAGTTCTAAGCCGACCTGTGACAATGACACGGTCACAGGTCGGCTCAGTAGATCGGGAGGTGAGGGAACACATACCGGGTTCCCTCACCTCTCGATCCTGTCACGGCTCTCTGCCGCGACAGGGGGAGGGGCTGGATTCCCCTCTCCCCGTTCCGATCTGCCAGCGCTGACTGGCGGAACAGACGGGGAGGGGGCGGGTACAGCTGGCTCTGCCTGTAGATAGGCAGAGCCAGCTGTCACTCACGCAGATGGGCGGATCCCGTCATCTACGTCGGGATCCGCTCCAGGTGCGGCGTCTCAGTATACCGCGAGCTGTAGCTTGCGGTATACTGAGCTTAGGGTAACAGGAGGACGCTAGTTTGTGTCCTCCCGTTACCCTAAGGAGAACTATGGGGGAAAACACTGACCCCATAGTTCTCCTTTAAGTTTGTTTTTGCTGTCAGCTTACAGGAAATAAAAAGGGCACTGCATTTCTGTCTGCCGGTATTTCCTGTGCTTGCAAAAAATGTTTCCTAGCCAGGACAATGAAGGTGAATGCAGCCATCACATCCAAGGACTGGTAATCTGCATTATTGGGTTTGGATGCTATGCCCTCCCTACTCCCAGTTCCATATTGATCTACAATCTGAGGCCCCATTCACACTAAGCGACATACCTTTTGCAGCGGATCCGCACGGCCGGGATAGCACTACTTTTGGGGTGACGATCCAGCGACGGTAGCGCGACCTTCACCGTCGGGCTCCATTAAAAAATAGAAAAATCACGCAAAATCCGCAGAAAAAGGGTCCTTCTGGAGCGACAGGCGACATGGAGTTAAGACATCTCCATTGAATAGGATTGGCCGACGACTTCTCACGATATCGTGCTGCAAAAATGCACGATATCGCGGCAGAAATCGCTTACTGTGAACGGGGCCTTAGAGCAAGGGGTTTTGCAAGCTCCTCTTTAAAATCTATATGATACAAGTGTTGACATCTGTGAGCCAATACTATTATTAAAGGTTTGTGGCCTCTGTTTTGTCTGGCAATCACGTGTCATCTTGTATTTGCCCAGTTACACTTTAATCATGGTCACTAGTAATGTTAACCCGTTTAAGTGGTAAATCAGTTGCACGCATCAATACAACCTTCCATACAGATGGAAACATGAATACTTGGCGGTACATTGCTTTGATCGCTCCATTCGCTTCCCATTGAAACTACCAGAAAACTGCCCAGTGTATGGCCAGCATTTCCCCCTGCAGCCTATGCAGGCTCAGAACTGACTACAGTGCTCCCCAGTCCTGCCACTGCCCCGTGTACTCTCCACCTCCACCGCTGACCCTTCGATGTCCTTGAGCTTCCCTTCACTCCCGGGTCCTTACCCCTTGGTTCAGGTGCTCGAACAACGCATCAGCCCCCTGATCGAACGCCCTCTCGAACAACACTACTCCGACCACGATGGAGAGAGTAAAGGTGGAAGTCCGGCGGAACAGCGAGCGGTACACTGTGTTCAGAATAGACATGGTGACCGATGGCCTGTTAGCAGGAAGTGACTTCTTCACTCACTGAGAGCACTGTACGGGAAGGCTTCCTGTCCACTGACCAATCACATTGGGTATCTCTCGGGCAGGCGCACGCAGTTCCGGGTATAGCTTACAGCGCATGCGTGCTTAGGTATCAAAGCCCCCGTGCCCCCCTCCACCCCGGTGGGAGGAGGTAGCAGAGAGTTTGGTTGTGTGTTGTGATAGTGGACTTCCGGAAGCAGTTTATGGTGGGGAGAGCGACAAACCTTTGCGATGGGCAAGAGGTATTTCTGCGACTATTGTGACCGCTCTTTCCAGGACAATCTGCACAACCGCAAGAAACATCTAAATGGAGTGCAGCACCAGAAGTGTAAGAAAGTCTGGTATGACCTATTCAGAGGTGAGACACCATGACCTGATCAGAGCCCTGTATATGTATAGTATGACCCGATCGGAGCCCTGCATATGTATAGCAGGACCTGATCGGAGCTCTGTAAATGTATAGTATGACCAGGGGCGGACTGACAACACATGGGGCCCCCGGGCAATACAAGATTATGGGGCCCCCTTGTGCTCCGCTCACTTCCAGTGGGGCCGAGTCATCCGAATCAGCTGTTTTCATGACGTGCGCACCTGGAAGAGACGCCGTAGATAAATTTATCGGTGTATAATGTATTGCTAGGATTTGTCATCCTCTATAGCTGATGGTACATTGTGCTGTGTATAATATACAGCACAATGTACCATCAGCTGTAGAGGACGACAAATCCCACTATCCCAGCAATACATTAAAGAGAACCATGTGGGGGGGGGGAGTGCAGGCTTACCTGAGCAGTCTTCCAGCAACTTGCTTCTGAAGCCCTCGGTCCGTGCCCGACTGCCCGAATGGTCGGTCCGCCCCTGAGTATTACCTGATCAGAGCCCTGTATATGTATAGTATGACCCGATCGGAGCCCTGTATATGTATAGCATGACCTGATCGGAGCCCTGTATATGTATAGCATGACCTGATCAGAGCTCTGTATATGTATAGCATGACCTGATCGGAGCCCTGCATATGTATAGCATGACCTGATCGGAGCCCTGTATATGTATAGCATGACCTGATCAGAGCCCTGCATATGTATAGCATGACCTGATCAGAGCCCTGTATATGTATAGCATGACCTGATCAGAGAAAGGAAGACACAGACAGCAAAAAACATTGTTAGAGGTTCCACCCCTTCTCCTCTCGCCCCAGAATGCATTCTTGCTTTAGTCTGAACAGGCATTGGAGAGGTTTTCCATCACTTCCTGTCCCTTCCAGACCTAGCTAAAACAAAATAAAAATGTTTTGGCTCCCGCCAGACTATGGAATTACTGTTTGGTGTGCTGGAAGGTTTGTTGGGTTGCCACCAAGATGATTTCTTGCATCCTTCATCTATTTGCTCTTTTTAGTCTTTTAGGTATGTTTAATACTTTGTAACATATTTTCTTATTCACAGATGCCGCTGAAATCCTTGCAGAAGAAGAGTGTAAGAAATTGTGCAGACGTTTCCTTCAGACGGGTGGGTACTTTGTTTAATAGTCCTGTAATTAAAAAAAAAAAAAAAAAGGGAAAAAAAAAAACCAAAAAAAAAGCGATAACATAAAGACGTTATCTTACAAATATATGTTGTCAGGCGTTTGTTTTTTCCCTTGTAAAGTGTTTGCAGTAGGTTGTGGTTTTATCTTATAGTGAATGTATGTAGGAGGTATAGGAACATTGGCAGAAACAGTCATTTTGTCTGGCACATGCACACAGCTTTTTTTTTTTTTTTTTATAGAAGTCTCCCTTTTGTATTTTTTTTCACAGCTCGGTCACCTAACTCCCAGAGTATGTGTTGCTTTTTATCCCATGCTTCTGTGTGCAGTAGTAACTGAGATACAGACTATTTCAGCTCACTCCTCTTCATTCCTGACCATGTTCTGCAAAGGAGACAGACTCTTGATTCACAGCTCTTATCTCACTGTCCGTTAGGGCTGAAACAACTCATCGATTAAATTGATTATAATCCAATAATGAGAATTGTTGTCAATGATTCTCATTATCGATTTAGTTGATTTTCAATTAGCGGGGACACAGACCACTGCAGCCGGCACCAGTGGGAGGAGAGACTGCGGTGACTGCATCTCCCCCGCTCCGTGCCTTCACTACCTGCCACCTTTCTTCTCTGCTCCCCCGTGCCCCCTCTTCTGCCGGCGGTATCAAGTCTCCCATCAGCGGCTGGAAACAGTAGCCAGCTTGCTATTGTATATTTAAAATTGCACTCCTTCAGTTCCCTCCTCTGCTGATTGGCAGTGGTGTTTTTGGCTATTGCAATTTAAAATAGCCAATAACAGGCTGGTATTGCTCACAGCCACTGCATGCTGTGTTGACATTAAGCTGCCTCAGCAGGCAGCTGTCATTTCCCAGTGAAGTGAAAAGGTGTCTTAAAGACCCCTAATGTCACCTTTTAAAGAGAACCTGTCCCCTCCAATGTGCTATCACATAGGGGGCTTGTGAGCCCCACCATGTGATAGCAATGAAGTAAATATATATATTTTATTTTTATTTATTTTTTTGTCCAATTTTGGTGTGTTATTTTAAATAAAAGGTTGGTTATTTTATTATGTTGGTTTAGAGGTTTACAATTATTTAAATCCATGAAACTAATTAAAATGTCTAATATACAATTATTTAAAAAACAAATATATAAAAAAAAGGTGGGAAAAGTAATTTCCAGTTTCAGCCTGACAAATGTTGCTGTGGGAGATGCATTGCAGTGCCATTCATTTCAATGGATCCCAAATGCACCTTCCGTCCGCAGTGTAATCGCCCACACTTGAACGCACGGTACTGCAATGCCCTGCTTTCCAGTGCAGTGCGATTTTAAGAAATGTGCATACGGTTTTATTCTGAAGTAAACTCTATTTCTGCAATGCTGCATTTGTGGGGGGGTTTTTTTTTTACATAAATCATGGTATTTAATTTTTTAATTTTTTTTATTCGATTTAATCGAAAAAATTATCGGCTTACTATAGTCAAATATGAAAATAATCATTAGTTGCAGCCCTACTGTCTGTGCACTTTTTTAGTACAGCTCTTTGCTGTGAAGAAGACATGAACTGACAAGAAACAAGTTGCATGTATTGTGCACTAGCTTCAGGCTGTCCCTTGGGGTCACTTGCCTGGCTCTCTGGAAACAGAAATTTTCAGAAACCTTTTGCTTAGCAGGTTTGGGACACTACATTGTGTGGCCATACATGTACCAATCTCTCTTGTTCCATTGTTTCTAAACAGGATGGATGAAGCAATCTCCTCTGACGGCAATCAGCTGCCATCCCTTTTCAGGGTTCTGACACCTGTCTGAACAGGGACAGCAGCTGATTTCTTCTGCTCCTACGACTTTTCAGTTGAATGTTGTTAAGCCAGGTGGTGTCCGTAGGGCCAACCACGGCTCGAGTTTCATCCGATTTCTGCTGAATTGAGCCAGGGCCGGTGCATGGATTTTTGGCAACTCAGGCGAAGGTGCATTTTTCCGTCGCTGTGTGATTTCTGCTGTGCTAGGTGAGAGTTCTCCTCAGCCCTCTCCTAGCGCAGCAGTGTCAGTTCTCCTGCCACGCCGCCAGATGTCGCTGCAGCAGCCGCGTCATCCCTAAATTTTACCATTGGGGGCCACCACAACTTGGCAAATGTTACCAAGGGGTCCCGGCCCTAGAACGTTTTAGAGCCATGTAGGTTAAAGGAGAACTATGGCGTCAGGGCTTTTCCCCATAGTTCTCCTAAGGGTCATGGGAGGACACAAACTAGCGTTCTCCCGTGACCCAAAGCTCAGTATACCGCAAGCTACAGCTCGCGGTATACTGAGACGCCGGAAAGGATTCTGACATTGCTGTCAAGATCCACCCAGCTACGGGATTGACAGCTGGCTGTGCCTATCCAGAGGCAGAGCCAGCTGTGCCCGCCCCCTCCCCCGTCCGTTCCGCCAGTCAGCGCTGGAGGATCGGAGAGGGGGGAATCCCTGCAGGGAGCCGTGAATGACAGTCAAGACTCTGCAGAGATAGATCAAGAAGTGAGCGAGCGACGGTATGTGTTCGCTCAGTTCCCAATCTATTGAGCCGACGTGTGACAGTTTCATTGTCACAGGTCGGCTCAGATTGAAAATCCCCCGCTTTTAATGCTAAAATTTGTAGTTCCACAACCATCACCACAATGCAGCCCTAGGTGTTGAACTCTCCTCTCTCACTACAAATGCTCTGTTGCCCTCCCCCACCAATCCAACACTGTACCAATACCTGCTGCTTGGGACCAGGAGATAGTTAAAGAGTGGGGAGAGTGAGCTAAAAAAAAAACATGTTGCAGGCAGCTTACAATTCCAGAGGAGGCAGAATGGGGAGAGATTAAAAAAAAAAAACCATATACACATGGTGCAGACATCTTTGATCTTACATCAGGAAGAGGGACAGTGGGGAAAGATGAAAAAAAAAAACACCAAACATATACACATGGTGCAAGCATCTTACGATTTTATGATCATCAGGAGGAGGAGAGTGAGGTTTTTTTTTCCCCCTATCTCTCCCCACTTTGCCTCCTCCTGATCGTAATAAGCTGCCAACAGCATGTGTAACACATGGTTCAGGCAGCTTATGATCGGGAGGAGGCAAAGTGAGGAGAGATGGAAAAAAAACAAACAAACATATACACATGGTGCAGAGGCAGCATACAATCAGGAGGAGGCAGGGTTAACACTTACCTAAGCAGTCCAAGATGAGAAGTACACTCCACAGGGGACACATTCAGAGATCCAGATGGCAGCAGTGCAGTCACGGTGAATGATGAGCGGCTCAGTCGGGCACTGTACGCAGAGAGTCGCACACGTGACACAGGCAGCATGCTCAGCTGACCAGACACCAGAGAGAGGGGAGGGGGCGGGGCCGAGCTTACAGCAGCCAAAGCCTGGAGCCCAATCTATGCTGCAGCCACACAGGAAGCGTGCGCACCAGGGAGAAGATAGGGGCGGGGATGAGCTTACAACGGACAAAGCCCGTAGCTCCGTGCATGCTGGCACTGCTACTATTTTTTCCCGCCCTCACCCCTAGGGCGCCCTCAAGCGGCCGCTTGCCTTGCCTTACATTAGCGCCGGGCCTGAATTGAGCTGTCTACGACCACGTTTAACCAGACTGTTACAGGTTTGATCTAAGCAGTGACCATTGTAACTTAATTTACCATTTCATAAACGGCATCACATAAGCTTGCTGCGTAAAGTTCTTATAGATTTGGGAACTCCTGTTTCAGATTGTTTACGTGTGAATGTTGCTTTTTAGGCCAGTGTGACTTTGGTCCTTCCTGCCGATTCTCCCACATGAGTCCACAGGATTTGGATGCACTGAAGGCTAAAGTGGAAGGTAAGAATTATATTACCTAATTATTTTATGGTAATACATTTTATTTACATTATTATCTAATACGTATGTGCAGCGCCACTTGGAATGCATTGCAGTTGGTCTCGGTTCCGCACTTTATATCTTTTAGGTTTTGTAGTCTACCCTAAAGTAATGTGCATCATTTTTGTTCAGGACAAATAGGGCTTTCATTTGGTAGTAAATGGATACATATATTTTTATTTCCTTGGTTTTTATTAAGAATAAATAGTAGAAATAGATTAGAAAGAAAAATGCATCATCTTGTCATTTCTTCCACCTATAATGTTTACATAGCAAACCACATACATACTGTAGCTCTACCCCCTTTTTATTCCATTACACTGTATGAAGACTTCAGTGCCTGGTCAGGGTTTCCGTCAGCCTCCTCCATCAATGCCATGCCTGAGGGCCAAGCTGTGGGCTGAAACGCGTCAGCTGTTTGTTGCTTGCTGTTTTAATTTGCCAGATAAAATAAACAACTAAAGTTTTAATGGACCCCTTTTTGTGTGCCGGATTTCATTGTATAATTTGCTTACCCCTATATATTTACCCCAACAGAGTTTGCTGATTCAAATATCACAATAGTGCGACTTTTATGTGACGTAGTGGAATGGTAAAGTTTTTTAAAAAGAACGTATACGTTTTATTTTAGGAGAGCCAAATGGTTTGCATAAATTATTAGTATAAATTAAAATAAGATTAGGTCAGGTTCACAAGGGTACAAATTACTAAAACTGCAACTTTTTCACAGGTTTGCAATCACTAAATGCTTGATTGACATTATGTTCACTTACATTGTTGTGACCTGGGGATATTTTTATTTTTGTGAAATACATATCTGTATGTAGACTGTATATTCATGGGGGAGTCTGGATCTGGTCAAATGTGTAGCAGCAGATCACTTCTTATAGTGATCTAGTGCTGGTTACAGGAAGCCGATCACTATGGCAGTGATCTGTTGCTACAGGAAGACTCTGGACAGGGTTGTAACGGCTCTGGCTTTGCCTCCTTACTCTGAGAAACTGCCATGACGTCAATACACTCCTGATATAGATATCTTTCATTGAGACATGCTGTGAGAACACAATTTGGGTGTCTTCGAGTGACTCTTTAACTTAGCACCTTGGAAAGATTGCTGCAGGACAACACACATTCTAAAGTGGTCAATAACATTTACAGTCTATTAAAGGCAGCAGGACCTCAACCATTTCATAACTCTTAACAATGATTGGTTGCATACATTCTCAATCTATCCCGAGAGCACTAGTACAGCAGACAAATTAATATATTTCAAATTTAAATATATTCTTTACTACACTTCAGATTGTTTACACAAAATGGGCCTTCTTTCTCATTCCAACTACCTGTAATGCTGTCATGACAGTGCCAACATATTTCACATCATGTAGATCTAAGCTATTGGTCATCAATATATGCTCGCCTGAAGGAACAACTTGGATTTACATAAGGTGGGTTAATCCTGTTGAGATACACTATGCAGCTGCACTCAGACTACGTGAGGGAGAGGAAGGTCTGCTTAGTCTGCTGCTCTGTCACTGTCCAGTCAGAAGGTTGGAGGTGGAGAGAGGTAATCATTCCATTCCCTAAAACCACTGTAGTATTTCTGCTAATTATCCTGGAGGACTATGTCCCCATCAAACTCCCTAGGTTTATGTTTCAATTGATACCATTTATGTCCACAAAATCATTCTACTGCATTGGCGAGACCTGGACGCACCCCACATCAATATGACAATTAAACTGGACAATGATAACTTAATGAAATACCATCGTGTATTCCATGGAAGAGGGTGCCTCAACAAGTGTAGTGATATATGGAACTCTTGCCTGGAGAAGCAAGTGGTTTTATTGATGGGGTGGAAGAGGACAAGTATGAATGTTTGAGTAAATGGGTTTGTTAATTTTTGTATTGTTGTTGTTGCTGGTAATGTAGATCTGACGCTAGTAGTACTACCTTGATGCTTGTTGTTCATTTTCTATGCAAAATATTAAAAAAATAGGGAATACAATGATTACCTCTCTCCACCTCCAACCTTCTGAATGGACAGTGACAGAGCAGCAGACTAAGGAGACCTTCCTCTCTCTCTCACGTAGTCTGAGTGCAGCTGCATAGTGTATCTCAACAGGATTAACCCACCTTATTTCAGGTACTTGGGTACAGCAGACTAAAGAGGCCATTCATTCTGCTCTCTTCTCCAATCGGCATGTTCCCAGTCAATACATTTGCATGCAACACACCTAATTGGCTTCCAGTTCTTCCCCTCCCTCTCCTAGTCTAAGTATGATTAATTCAGGTGCTTGCACTGGTTGCATTTAAATATATATATATATAT